ATGAGTTACAAAGGTTAACCTAGACCATTATGTCAATATTAATGCCTAGCCTAGAAACACAGGCATTACAGAAGCAAACCCTAATATTTGGGTCTTGGACCCTATTTAAAGACCTTACCTCATTTCAATCCCTTCTTACCTTCAGCCTCCATCCTCTCTAACCCTAAATTCAAAACCATAGCCCCATTTGTGAGATCCTTGAGTTCTTGAGTGATTTGGAGTATTCTTTGTGCATCTTGGAGAAGGGGGAGCTCATTAGAGAAGTGTTGGTTGCCTTGGAGCTTGTAGATTAGGACCTTGTCCACCTTGATCTTTCTTCTGGAAAGTATAAAGCTTCAATCTTGATGATTCTTTTATGTAGATCTAGTTTGGGTTATAATTTTCATGTTTAGGTCCCATGGTTTTGACTCTTGTGAGTAAAAGCTACTCCAGAGATTAAGGGTTTCATTTCTTATTAGATCTATGGTTCATGTAGCATAAAAATCGGATCTTGATGAGTATAATTCTTCCATGCATAAGTTTGTGGTCTTTTGGTGGAGTTGTGAATCTAGGGCTTTGGTTGGGCACCATTAATCCATGCAAACCTATAAAGTCATGAACTTTATGACTTAAGACGTGTCTTAGAATCAGATTTGGGAGTTAGATGTTTTTTCTTAAGGCATTAAGACCTCAGATTGTGGTTTGGGCTTCAACTCGTAGTACGTCGCACGTACTAGGGAGGTACATGGGGCGTACTCACCGGAAAGTTGTTATGGGCCATTTTTAAGGCTTAGGTCATTTGGGTTTTAGGCCATGGATTGTTGGGTCAGATATTAGAAGGGTAAAATGGTCTTTTACCCTTTTGATATGATATAATAAGAGTTGGACCTTTGATTTTGGGTTATTACCCTAATTATTGATTAGGGATGATTTTGGATATGTTCAGTGTGAGGAGCCCTGTAGCAACACCGTGTGTGTGTTTTAGTTATTTTGGATAGAGGTTAGTCTTCTCACTATGCTTGTGAGTCGAAGGCACCAATGCTGGCCCACTAAATTGTGTATGTAGGATGTTAGTTGTCTTTGTGACTCTTACATGTTTGTTTGATTGGGTTGAAATAAACCCCAGCCCCAGGGATGGGCTCATTATGGTATGAATTGGTTGAAAGAGACCCTAGGGTTGGGCCAATTATTGTATGCATGGGTTGAAAGAAACCCCAGGGCTAGGCCCATGATTGTATATTGGATTGGAATATACCTCAGGGCTTGGCCTAGTTGTATGTTTGGTATGTGGTATTTTAGGGAACTTACTAAGATTTGTGCTAATGGTTTCATGTTTATGGTTTCAGATACTTCCAGTTCGAAAGGGAATGGTCCGACATGATTTCACAACATCCCCCAGAGTTTATTCTGTATTGATTAGTTGTGATTTTTACTCTGATGTTTAAATACGATTTTTCACATTGAATGATTTTGGGAATAGAATGTTATATGAATTAATGTTTTAAAAATTAAAAATTTTTCCATGGATTTTTGGGATCTTACACAAGATCTAATGCATGTTTTCTGGATGAGTATCAATTGGAAATTTATGTATTTTATGGATAAAAGAAAAAGAAGTAGTGTGTAACATGGCGTATTCATGTGTTGCACGCGGGTGCGTGAGTTCCACGTGGATGTGGGTGTGTGAGTGCCACGTGGACACTATGCGTGTTTAAATGAAGTATACGACACATGCCGCTGTAAATAGCTTAAACCTAGGTCTTTGGACTTGGAAACTATTTAAGGGCTATAATTTTTAGGGTTTCATTCTTATCGTCCTCCATCCTCTCAAGAAAACCCTAGACTAGCCTCCTTTTATCCTTGTTGATATTTTTTTGCATTTTCGTATGCAATCTGGAAGAAGAAGTGTTTGTTTGGTGTAAGAGGAAGCCATATTAAGTGGTATCCTACCTCCTTATCATCTTCAAATCCTCTACAAGTGATCAAGTCTCAAGTTTTATGGTTAAATGCTTCTAGATCTAGGTTTTAAGCATCATTTGATCCCTTTGGTAAGTTTCACTTGGAGTTTCGAAAATTTCAAGTTGTTGTGATGTTATGGTAGGTTTTTGGGCTCATTGTGTTAAACAGAATGCTAGTTTAATTCTTTTTGATCCATGTAAGAAGTTTTCTACATTTTTAGAATTGATTCAGATCTAGGGTTGATGTTTGGTAAGTTAGAGGATTTCATGTGGACACATTTTGAAACTTTATCCATTAAGAAACTCCGTAGAAGGTTTCTAGAAAGTTTTAGACACTGACTGAAAAGATTGGTGCTTCACAAAATGGTTGAGAGCCGACTATTTTCACGTGTTGTGGACTCGACGCGTTCAAGTGTTCTTCCCAGCACGTATGTCCGATGAACGTTGACTTTTACCCGTCGACCGTTAACTTTTTGATTAGTTTAACTTATGATGATACATTTATGGATTTGAGTATTAGATAAAGGTTTGGCCTCTGTTTGGGTATTAGGTGGTTCATGCGAGCCGTTTTTATTCCTAGACTGGGTTGGACCATTATTCTAGATTCAAGTAAGTTTTCTTACTATATAAAATGTGTCATTATTTGGATCTGCTATATATAGGATGCTTGTCTAATGCTATGTTATTATTCTATGATCGGTTAGAATAGTTGAGTCTTGTTTGCTTGATTGGTAGCTATATGATGTGTGTGTGTGTATATATATATATATATATATATATATATATATATATATATATATATATGTTTGTATGTGATGATCAAGGAACGACTCCAACCATGAGCCTACAACCGATGTGCTGAGGTTCATAAATGTGGTCGTGAACTAAAATTGTGAAATGGTCGAGAACATGTGTCCTAAAAGTGGTCATTGATAGATATCATGAAAGTGGTCGTGAGCGGTTATCAAGAAGGTGGTCGTGTGAAAAATTGGTACATAAAACAACAATGTTAGTTTTTCAGCTTTTGTTTAATACAAAAAATAGACTATTTTCTTGTTTTATCAAGACATTCATACATATAGGAGAACATGCAATGTTTCTATTATTTGATGAGATATACTTCGATCTAAATATGGTTCATGAGAAGCTTGATGTTAAGATTATCAAAGAAAAACAACCAGTCGATATTGCCAAACAATCAACTTATTCAATTGTTTGGATAAAGAAATAGCCAGTTTTTATTTCAACTACTCATCGGCCAGTTCTTTCAAAAACAACCAGCTAGACTAATAGAAGGAACAACTCATATTCTTGTTTCTCAAACTTAAAAGCATCATTAAAACATGTTTTCATCAGTTGAATTTTCATTGGAAAGACAAAACAAATAAAAGGGACAAGATAAATATGTTTCATTACCATTAAAACAAATAAAAGAAAATGATGATAAGATTCTAGAATTCTAGAATTCTTGTGTTGAGTAGAATACATGTCACTCTTTATATTTGTATTATAGTATTAGAAAAATAGAAAAAATTGGTATGTGGTAATATAAACCAAATATCAAAGTGTTCATAAAACCTGAGTATCTACATGAAATGTAAGCATAACATATGAAAGGAAAGTGCATACAAACCTTGGCACAAAGGTTGCGTGAATCATTCCAATCTATATTGTGATAGGGGACAATAAATAGCTCCTCTCTCAAGGATAGAATGGTAGATGTGATTGGTCCAACAAACCTCTTCCCATATAAGTATGACATAGGCAGGTACACCATCCGGCAATGAGACCACATCCTACCTGAAAGATCGAGGTAGGTTTTAGCCGCATAGCAATTAATTTTCATCTTGTAGTAAAGAAATTAGTAGTTATTGCTAATAATTATAATGAATCCATGTGTATTTCATTGATAATACAAGTATATATACATGTTGTGATCACTATTTTCAGTATGGGATATATACAAAATCTTCAGTAACTAATATCCCATAATACTAGGAAAGATAATCTTGTTGTGATGATAAGATAATCTCGATTAATATGCCCCCACACTCGAATCGGGAGGAGCGTGGACGTTAAGACTGTTTTTAAAGTCATCAAATAGCACGAGAAATAGACCTTTAGTGAAGATATTTGCGACCTGATAGCGTGAGGGAATGTGAAAAACATGGATTTGACCATGATCAAGTTTTTCTCGAATAAAGTGGATATCAAGCTCGATGTGTTTTGTTCTTTGATGTTGAAAAGGATTGTAGGATAGGTATGTTGCACTAATGTTGTCATAGTAGACGAATGTTGCTTTATTTTGAGGCAAATGAAGTTCTAATAGTAGATTCCTTATCCAACATGTTTCAGATATACATTAGCAACGCATCGGTACACCGCCTCGGCACTTGATCGGGAAAGAGTTGGTTGTCGCTTTGATGACCAAGAGACGATATTGTTTCCAATGTAGACATTATATCCTGACGTCGATCGTCTTGTGTCCACACACCCTGACCAATCAGCATTTGTGTATGCGATAATGAAGTGTGTGGGTGATCTGTGAGGTGCAGTTCATGATGAATTGTGCCCTTTATGTAGCGCAAGATCCTTTTAATAGCGTTGAAGTGGGTTGTTCGAGGAGCATGCATGTGCATACAAATTTGCTGAACAACATAACATATATCCGGGCGGGTGAACGTAAGGTATTGGAGCACACCGGCTAGCTGGCGATAGTGAGTGCCTCCATTGAAGAGAAGAGTGCCATCATTGTTACTCAACTTGGATTTCATGTCGACTAGTGTGGATGATGGATGACGGGAACTCATGCGGGCTCTTCGTAAGATTTCGATGACATATTTTTGTTGTGAGAGATGAATGGATTGTTGCTTCGTGTGACTGAAATACCAAGGAAGTAGCTTAGAGGACCAAGATCTTTTATTGCAAATTCCTTGGCTAATAGTTGCATGAATTGTTGGCATAAGTGAGGTGATGACGTCACCAGCAAGATGTCATCTACGTATAGAAGTATGAAGGCCGTATGTGTCCCGTTCTTGTAGACGAACAAAGAATTATCACATTTGTTGTGTTTGAATCCCAAGGTGAACACGTAATCAACGAACCGTTGGTACCAAGCCCAGGGAGCTTGTTTAAGGCCATATAAATATTTCTTGAGTAAGCAAACATGGTCCGGATAAGAGGGATCTCGAAATCCCTGGGGTTGATGCATGTGCACAGTTTTGTGTAGGTGCCTATGTAAAAATGTGTTTTTCACGTCAAGTTGGTGAATTTTCCATGAATTTGAAAGAGCGATGGAAAGAACGGTGCTGATTGCTATTGGCTTCACCACGGGACTAAATGTTTCTCCACAGTCGACTCCTTCCTTTTGAGACCTGCCATCACAAACCAAAAAAGATTTGTATCGCTCTAGAGAACCGTCAGACTTAGTTTTGTGGCGATAAATCCACATACTTCGTACCACATTCATATTCGGAGTTTTTAGGACTAACTTCCATGTGTTATTGTCAATAAGAGCCTGGAATTCATCATTCATGGTTGTATTCCAATTCGGATTTTTGAGAGCCTCAAAAGGAGTTTTAGGTAAAGGTGAGATAGACGATGATGTATTAAAAAGGAAAGATTGTTTTGGTTTAGAGATGCCGAATATACTCCTGGTATGTATGGTTCGATTTGAGGTAGGTTGCGACATGGGGGAGGAGGCGTTGGTTGATGCGTTACAGGAGGTGGAGGTGGAGCCTAGTTGGAACGACGAGGATTAGTGAACTGGATGGAGGGTTTTGGAGATGGCATGTGAGTAGTGGTTGGTGATGGGTCAGAAGTAGACCACAAGGAAGGGTGAGGGTCTGATTCGGTATTGGTTTGAGTGGAAGGGGTTGATGGCGAAGATGGCAATTTTGAGGATGGGAATATTGTTTCAGCAAAAATTACGTGGCGGTAAAGGATGATGATACAAATTTGGATGTCATAGAATTTATAACCTCGATGGTTGGATGGGTGACCCAAGAAAACACAAGGTGATGACCGTTTATTTAATTTGTGTATAGTAGTAGAAGAGGTCAGGGGATAGCAAAGACATCCGAAAGTGCGTAAATGAGAATATATGGGTTGAAGATTATATAGAAGGTGAATATGTATGAGTTTATGCAAGAGATTACTTGGAAGAATGTTTACGAGATAAGTGGCATGTTGATGGGCGTGGGGCCAAAAACGTAATGGCACCGTGGAGTGAGCAAGAAGAATACGCAACACATTATTGATTGAATAAATTTTTCTTTCCGCTTTTCCATTTTGCAGAGAGGTTTGTGGACAAAAGAATCGAAACAGGATGCCATTTTGAGAACAAAAATTATGAAATTTATGATTGTTATACTCGCGGCCATTATCACACTGTATTGTTTTTATTGTAAAATGAAATTGGGTTTTGATGACTGTGAAAAATTGAACGAAAGTGGAATAGACTTGAGATTTGTGTGCAAGTGGGTATGTCCATAAGAAATTAGTTTTGTCATCTAAAAATAAGATAATATCGATGACCACTAGAACTTAGCACAGGTGATGTCCATAAATCAGTGTGAATTATATCAAAAGTTAAATGTGTGATAGAGTTTGAAGCATAAAAAGGAAATTTAGATTGTTTTCCAAACACACAAGAGGAACAAACAATAGATGATATTTTAGAACTAGAGCTAAAAGTCAAAGTAGACTTTAAAGAAGATAAAATATCTGATCCCAGATGTCCAAGCCGATGGTGCCATAAATCCTTGGTTATTGCAGAAAAAGTTGAGGGTGTTGTAACTTAGGATGATGATTGAAGTGTGAAAGGATAAAGGTCGTTAGAACTATTGCATCGAAAAATTTGTGTCTGCGTCTGAAAATCCTTCACATCAAAACTGAAAGGTTCAAATTCCACAGAAAGATTATTATCAGTGGTAAACCGACGAACAGGTAAAAGATTTTTGATAACATGAGGAGTATGAATAACATTTTTGAGAACTAAAGGGGGGGAAAAGGTAAGGCAGAGTTTGATGTCTGGTACCTTGGATTGGAATAGTAGAACCATTACTGACAATCACATTCTGAAAGCACGATTATTTTGATAAGACATGAAGTTATCTCAATTTATTCGTCATGTGGGAAGTTGCTCCGGTGTCGACATACCGATTTGTATCAGATGGGTGGAGCGACATCGTGTCGAAAGCCTACTCCAAATCAGTTGGCGTGTAGCTGGAGTCAGAGGTAGCATATCCCTACTGGTTCGGCTTCCAAGAATACCAGGTCCATTAGATGGAGGTCTAGGATTGCAAAGTTGTTGTATAGGATAAAGACACGGTGGATAGGCCCACGGTGAGTAGTTTTGAAATGTCTAAGGAGGTGGTGTAGTCCATGGTTGATAGAGAGTGTATTGAGGTTGATGTGAACTGTTGTTGAAGCGTCGTCACATGTTGTTGTTCGATCTACCCCGACCACGAGCTCCTCTGTCACAACCCCGTCCACGAGAAGTGGTAAAATCATATTGTTGCTGCTTGAATCAGCTGTTGTTGTTGATGTTTTGGGTTTCGTAGGTGTCGTAGAGGCTGTTAAACCGGTGGCGTTGGGGCCGATGTTAGGTGATGTTGTGGCGGTGGCATCTTGATGAGCTTTACGAGATTCTTCCATGATTAGTTTGGATCGGACTTCATTGAACTCGGGAAGATGAGTGGTTTGCTGTATGAGCATGGCGATGCCTTCGTAACTTTCATTGAGACCAACAATCAATTGTAAAACGAGTCTTTGATTTGACACAGGGTTTCCCACGTTGGCAAGTTGATTCGCCAACATCTTCATAGCTTGGTAGTAGGAAGAGATGTTGGGATGATGATCAAGACGGGTGGAGACGAACTTGCTGTCAAGATAGACAACCCTTGAATTTTGATTATCTTGAAAGATGTTTTCGAGAGCTTGTCAAGCCTGTAAGGCGGTAGTGTTAGTTTTTAGGATAGTGTGAAGAAAATCATTGAAGATGGTACTGTATATCCATTGAAGAACAATGGCATCTAGACGAGACCAGATTTCAGATTCAGAAGTTACTTTGGTCTTCTCTGCCTCGGTAGCTGTTGAGGAAGAGGGGGCGGATGGCGGTGGTTTAACTTGGGGGTCGATGTGATTTCTAACTTGGAAGGCACAACAGTGAATTTTGAATAACTCAGCCTGTGAGTGTATCGACCGTTTTTGCATTTCGATAGTGAATGGAATCAGGGGCGGTTTTAGGGTGGGTCACTAGTGGCACCGGCAACCCCTGACTTTTCCGGACGCAGGGGAAAAATTTTCGAAAATTTTATTTTTTCTACTATCGTGCAACCCCTAACTTTCCCGTGACACCCCTACTGTGAAATCCTGTGTCCGCCCATGGAATGAAGTTTCTGATGTTTGTACAGTGATGGCAGGATAGAAGAAAGAAAGAGGAGAAGATCGGCGGTTGAGAAGGGTTTCAGAGGATTATGGGCTTTGATACCATGCTAATAATTATAATGAATATGTGCGTGTTTCATTGATAATACAAATATATATACAGGTTGTGATACACTATTTTCGATATGGGATATGTACAAAATCTTCACTGACTAATATCCCGGAATACTAGGAATTATAATCTTGCTGTGATGATATATAATCTCGGCTAATGGTTTTGGCTAAAAACTGTAACGCATGCATTTGCATCATCATAATAAATATGAGACACTCACCTGGATGCACTGGAAAGAAATATGGAAGGACCCACATCTCAGGAGGTAACGGATTATTTCCTGACCACTCAAATACCCCAAGTACCTATATATTATTAGCAACATATAAGACGAATACATATAGGTAACAAAGAAAAATGAACAAGATCAAGGGCAAGTTGCTATACTGAAAGCCAAAACTTTCCCCAAGATGTTATTGAAGTGGCACCACCATGGTCCAAAATCCACTTGCGTCCCTTCTCCATTGCCCCTTCTCCATCATTACATCCTTCACCCAACAATCTCAAGGTAACATAGTTTAAGGCACTGCCAAACATAGTGCTATGACCCTCGATGTGTAGACCCCATCCACCATCTCTATTCTACATTTATGATATTCTGTTAGATTCTCAATGACTCTTGAAAACATACAAGATAAATAATCCCTAAGGGTAGCTAGGTTTACAGCATATAAGAAGGAACTACAGTTGTACGTTATTGAAATATATAGAAAAGAACTATGTTATACATGCCTGATGATTGTAAATGTAGCGGCACATCTCCTGTTTATGCTCTTTGGATAAGACTGCATTCAATTCCCCTGTAATTGTTAGGGTAATGACCTGATACATAGATTAACTTGCTGTCAGCATTTACATGGGTTGTTCATCTCTTGAATAAGGTAATCTATATATACAGATAAAACTCAAGGGTCCCATTCTGAGATCCAGCTGCATTTTCTAGAAAGCTAAAATAAAAGAAATTTCTGGTAGAGGGATGGAAAACTCAAGAAACCATAGAAGAAATGCTAAAACTTGTGCGGGGGAAAGATAAGACTCACCAAACCAGGCAATAAAAACATAGGGCTCCCTATGTCTCCTGGCCAATGTCCATCATCTGCCTGGAGGGTTGAATGGAAACCAATAGCTCTTCTTAATACATTTGTTACTTTATCCTCCGTAATATCTTCATCATTTTTTATGTCGACTTTTGGTGGGAATACAGATGAATTTGAGTTCTCCTTTGCAAACTATGAATTTAAAAACAAAAACAAAATAGTAAATAGTATTAGATGACAAAGGATACATTCGAATGACAGAAAACGAAAGCTAGGAATCCTGGTAATGTCGCCATTTGATTTGATAAAGGCATTTCAAGATCGGTAGTTCTGCCATCAGACTAGCTATGACTTGTACATTTGCATGCATAGCATAGCTTATACAACATTTCCAACTTCTCTTAACTTTTTAACTCAATTCCACTTCTTTGCTTTTCAAATCACGGGATTAAAGAATCATGACTGCCAATAATTTTGACACTCAAAACTCGATTGCCCAAATACTTAGTAATAAAAGGCTTAAAACAATGAATTTAATTACAAAAACAAAAAAAAAAAAATCTTCATCATTTTTTTATGTTGACTTTTGGTGGGAATACAGAGGGTGGTGAGTTCTCTTTTCCAAACTATGAAGTTAACAACAAAAACAAAATAGTAAATAGTATTAGTCTATTAGATGACAAAGGATACAATAGAACATTCAACACTACAGAGAAAGACTTCAGGTATTTATTTCCCCATCTATTTTTCAAATACATCTCATTTTATAATTTAGGTTCTATTACTTTTTACTGGTATAAAAACAAGAAATACAAGGCTTTTTTTTTTGTTGCAAATCCACGTTTGACGCCTTCTATTCTTCTTCTTCTTTTTTATTTTTCTGTTTTTTTCTTCTTTAAGATATATGCCTTATTTTTATTGTTTGTTATATTGTTTTTTATAATTTGAGATTCAAAAAACAAATTGATGTTTACTTTCAATAGACTTTTTATTGTTATAATTTTAAATTTTAATGTTTACTTAGAATTTTATTCTAATAGATAAATTATGTTGAAAGGGTTATCAAAAGGACGGTTAATTTATATTGTTTCTATATTTTTTTTAATAAAATATTCAACTCATTACATGTTTATCAGTAGAATCGGATAAATTGATGCAAATAGGGTTCTTGAAAAATTTACAAATATATTTTTAAAAAATCACTTATTTAACTACATTTAAAATAAAAAACATATATAATACTAAATATATTTTAAAATAATTTAATAAAAAAATACAATGAATTATTATTTAAAAGTGTTAAGTAATGATTATGTAATTATTAGAAAGGTACAAAAAGAAACAAATAAAGATGTAAAAAAGTATAGTTTGTAGCGAAAACAATATATTTATATTTAAAAGATAACCAATAAAAATTAGTGAAATCAAATTAAATAGAACGACATGTAGTTTTAATATAGAGCATAGTGTATAACTAAAAACTCTTTGTTAATTGGTTATTCAATTCAGCCATTCATATGACTTGTGATTCAGCTATCCATATGACTTATACATTTGCATGCATAGCATAGCTTATATATTTAAACATGAATAAGTGACAAGTGACCAATATTTTAAAGGAAATTGCCACTAATAGAGATTATTTTGGGGGAATTTCAAAAAATAGACACAAAAAATTAAATTTTCAGGTATAGACATGGATTTTGTGGAGACGAGCTCCAAGGGCTCCGTGGAATCAACTTAATCTCCGAGGAATCGATGTGGAAAAAAAAATTGAAGATCCATTCCGCGGAGCTACCTCCGAGGAATGAACTCATTCCGCAGAGGTAGCTCCGAGGAATGGATCTTCAGATTTTTTTTTTCACATCGATTCTTCGGGGCTTATACTCATTCCCCAACTAATTATTTTCAAGGAAATATTATGATGGTATAAAATTTTCTTGACAATGTTTGGAATGAATGTGAGGTGGAAAACAAAATTTGTCTTTTAATCGGAGATCTTTGCATAAAAGAACAATGGGAGGTGGAAAAAAAATTCTGAAGATCCATTCCTCGAAGCTACCTCCGCAGAATGAGTTCATTCCTCGGAGGTAGCTCCGTGGAATGGATTTTCAGAATTTTTTTTTTTTTGCCACATCGATTCCTCCGATATTAAGTTGATTCTGTGGAGCCCTCGGAGCTCATATCTACGGAATCAATGTCTATACCTGAAAATTTGATTTTTTGTGTAATTTTTTTGAAATTTTTCCCAAAAAAATGTCTATTAATGGTAATTTCCGATATTTTAAAAACTTGTTTGAACTGGCCAGCCAAACCAGAAACTGTGGACAAGAGCGGTTGAATAACGGTTGGTTTTATGTCAATTTTTAAACTAGATCGAACTGGGCGGTTACTTCAAAAACCGGGTTGAACCGGTGTGATACAACCGGTAAAACCGTTAAACCGGTTTATTGGACTTGTATAGTTGGATTTCAGTTAATCTGTTAAAAAAAACTGCTCATTCCCAAAGCATTAAAGCAACTGGAATATTTTCGGAGTGTACGCAATTTCGAAGGCCGACACACACCACCACCAGCCATAAAAAAATTCTTGATTGAAGAGACGGTCGAGTAGACCGGTTCAATTAAAAAACTGTTTCTTAAAACATTGCTACTAATCCGCTGGCATTGCTGCTTCTACAAAATTTCCATCTTCTCCCAACTTTTTAACTCAGATCCACTTCTTTACTTTCAAATCAAGAGATTAAAGAAACAACGCTGCCAATAATTTTGACATTAACTCGATTACCCAAATACTTAATTGGTAATACAAGACTTAAGGAACAGGTCGATTTTTCTCCCAAAAATTGGTTTTGTTACTTTGGTTTGAGACATTTTTTATATTATAATATACATAAAAAAAGAAAGAAGTACCAACTTGACTTGCAGATATGTTTTATCTACATAAAACAGAAAGCACTTTTATTTTCTATATGAATTTGAAATTTCCAACAAACACAGTAAAATTGCATGCAGTTCTACCAGAAAGTATTTTGTTTATAACAACAAATTAAATGTTGTAAGTTGTAACCGTTTATCCGGCTCCTGTAAACATGCGTGGTGTAAATTAATTAAAAGTGTACCTGAATGCGCATAAGCAGATCTGAGCTGTGTTTTTTCTTGAACCGATTTTCATGAAATATCTGTCGAGCTTTCTCGATATCGGCCAGTTCCTCGGGGGACCCCAGCGTAGGATCAAACTCCCAAAATTGTCGGCCTACGTGATCGTTTGTCGTACGCAGCCATGGACTCCCTCCCTCTGCGATCTTCAGTTTCCACATTGTTTACTTCACTACCAAAATCACAAAAATAGCATCACAATTTCAGTTTCATGCACAACAGCACTAACAGAACAATACAGAAAAAATAAATGCACAACTTAATACATTTTCGAATAACAATGCAAGATCAGGATTCGACTAATTCCACGTGTTAGAAAAGCCACTACGTGCAGTAAGGCTGCAAACTCCCGTTACAATGTGTAAAATATAGGAACCGCAGCTACCTGTAGCATATCATTATCAAAGATTTAATTTTCAAAAAGTTCTTGAATAATTAAAATACTGCAAGATTAGCCCCTATGGTTTACAAAAATGCCTTTAAATTAATTTTCTTAAAGAAGTCTTATTAAACCTCCGAAGAATAAGATAATTGATTTAGGGGTATTCAATATTTTGGGATTGGAGCCGGAAAAAATATCGAATGTGTTTTTAAATTTAATTTATTAATCGTTCCACAAACATTTAAACCCTTTTCTTTTGTTTCGTCACATTTTTTTTGATGAACCAAATATAATTAAATAAACAACCCCCCCTAAATTTTACTATTTTTTCCAATTTGACGAAATACAAAAGGAAAGTTATTTCCTTGGGTTTTTACTTTAACAAGAAAAATACAATAAATGTATTCTCTTTTTATTACATTTTAGATAGAAATAGTTAAAGCTGACATTGATTTCCGATCAAACCTAGTAAATTATGTCTAATCAAACAATTTTTTTTTAATATCCATATTTAATTTTAGTTTTTTTTGTCTGTTTAATTAATTTAATATTTTATTTATTATTCTTTAATTGTTTTATATTTCCTATATTATTAATATTATTAATTTTTTATGAGCAAAAGTAAAATATTGTTACTGTTAAGTTGTTAATAAGCATATTTGGTTTTTCTAGAAACATAAATTATTTATCGGTAATATTAATCTCAAACATAATAAAAATTCAAATTAAAAATTAACACAAAGAAAGTTGAAAAACATGTAAACAAATATACTTATACATTTTAACAAAAAATGATAATGGTAAAAAGTTCCAAACGAGGATACGTAAACAAAAAGACATATTTAAGGTTAATATTATTATATGTTAACAATAAAACATTAGTTTTATTTTTTTAATACTTTGTTTAAATATATTCGGACGACATTAAAAAAATTATATTCGAACAAAACAATAAAAAATTGATAAATTTTCTTTGGATGTTTTGCGTTGTTCTTTATTAATTTTGTTTTTGACATTTTGTTCGAATACAATTTTATTTTTTGACGTTTTATTTATCTTTATGTCAGGGGCGGCTCAACTAATTTAGAGGCTCTAAGCAAACCAAAAAATTAGGGCCCTTTAAATAAGCAAAAGGTTTTGAACTTAGACATTTAGTTTTATAAACCAATTCTTTTACAACCAAGTCAAGCTTCAACTTATCTTTATATCCTCCAAAAATACGTGTATATATATATATATATATATATATATATATATATATATATA